GCCCACAATGGCCAGGGCTGGGCTAGAATGAAGCCAGGAGCTGGGAACTCAATCTAAGTCCCCCAGGTGGGTTTCAGGGGCCCAACCACTTGAGCTGGGTGCGACTCCCCTGCCTTCCAGGGTCTGCATTAGCCGGGGGCTGGAGTCAGGACTTAATCCCGGGGATTCCGATATGAGCTGTGGGAGTCCCAGCTGCATCTCACCACTAGACCAAATGTCCATTTTCCACGTCAATCATTTTCAAAGTGAGTGTTGAACACTACGCTCCCCAGAAAGCTGTTGGTTTGAATTCAGTAAGTGTTCTAAAGCTGCAGTTGACAGGGGATTATTTCAGTTTTTTAAATATTTGAAGAAGATTTGAGAAGACACAATTTCCATTTTCTTCATCTGGCCCTGCATACCCCATGAGAGCCCATCTACGTGGTAAAATATGATGCTGTGAAATAACAGGTGAGAAATATTCTATCCCTAGCAAACAGCAACAGTAAAAAGAAATAAATGTCGTTATATCCCCTCAACATTCCTAAGCTTTTGACCCTAATAGTTACTTACTTATTTTTCTGTTTATCATATTCTATTTCTCATTAAAGAATTCTTACAAACTGTGTAAATTTTTTCCTTACCAGTTACCATTTAAAACCTTACATCTATATAGTAATTTTCAAAACTTATTCTTGACATAAATAATTCATGATTTTCATAAGTTTGAGAAACTCCTACCTTAAATAATATTTGAATGGAACCAGATACACGCATACCTCCAAGCTTGCTTGTTCCTTTTTTTTATTTTTTTTTAAAGATTTATTTATATGGGGGCTGGTGCTGTGACCTAGTGGGCCAGGCTTCCACCTGCGGTGCTGGCATTCCATATGGGCGTTGGTTTGTGTCCTGGCTGCTTCTCTTCCATTGCAGCTCTCTGCTTATGGCCTGGGAAAGCAGTGGAAGATGGGGGCAGGGCTTGGGCCCCTGCAACTGTGTGGGAGACCTGGAAGCTGCTTTTGAATCCTGGCTTTGGATCAGCTCAGCTCCAGTCATTGCGGCCATTTGGGGAGTGAGCCGGTGGATGGAAGACCTTTCTCTCTGTCTCTCCCTCTCTTTGTCTGTAATTCTACCTCTCATATAAATAAAATAAAATAAAATAAAATAAAATAAAATATCTCAAATTAAAAATAAATAAAGATTTATTTACATTGTTTCTTTATTTGAAAGGCAGAGCAGCAGAGAGAGACAGAGACATTTTCAATGCATTGGTTCACTCCCCAAATGGCACAATAGCCAGGTCTGAGCCAGGCCCAAGAACGGAGCCAGGAACTCCATCTGGGTCTTCCACATGGGTGGCAGGGGCTCAATACTTGGGCCATTTTCCGCTGCCTTCGCAGGTGAATTAGCAAGAAGCTGGATCGAAACTGGAGCAGCTAGGACTCAAACTGGTACTCTGATGTGGGATGCCAACATCACTGGTGGTGGCTTGACCCACTGCACCGCAACACCAGCCTCAATCACTGTTCCAGCTCTTGGGGAATATCTCTGAGCTCTGAAACATTTGCGATTTATATTAAAACAGCACTCTTTAGTATTTAGCAAGAAGCTGGCTAAGCATGCTATCAATATTATGGGAGTCTTCACAAAGTTCCTGGAAGATGCATATTGTGAAAAAACTGCTTAAATTTCAAAATTTCTGAATCAAAATAAACTGATCTTTTAATTTCACTTTGTCACAAACTTCTTGTAAGAACCCTGATTACTGCCTGAAAAATAAGGCCTCCAAAGATCCATTTGGAAACAAAATGCTTATAAATCAAAAAATGGGACTATTTTGTAAAATCTCTCTGAGCTTATTTCTCTGGCTCCCTCCATTCTGAGGAAGGAAAGTATAACCTTCCAAAACAATAAAAGTTCACAGCAGTTGTCCGCTCAAAAAGATGGCGCACAATAGGCAACAACATCTACATAAGTAGCAAAAATTACACACAAGCCCAGAACTTAAAAGGGCACCTACTATAAAGCTTTCTTGTAATTGTGATTTTCAACTTCAGTGTACAGATGGTCAATTGGGAATGGCACATGCAGAACAGGGGGAAAAAACTGTAGCTTAAACGGAGCAAAGAGGAGAATCTCTAACAACTCAACCACCCTGGGAGTGAGCATTCACCTAGAGGGTAAGACACCATGTCCCACATCAGAGTGCCTTGGTTCAATGCTGGGCTCAGGTTCCTGACCCCTGCTTCCTGCCAACACAGATCCTGGGGAGCAGCAGTGGTGGCTCAAGTAACTGGGTTCCTGCCACCTATGTGAGAGACCTGGACTGAGCTCCTGGCTTCTACTTTCAGCCCTAGACCAGCTTGGGTTTAGCCCCTGCTACTGTGGGCATTTGAGGAGTGGAGCTGTGGATGGGAGTGTTTCTTTCTCTCTCTCTCTCTCAAATCCAGGCCCAAGCAATCACAGCTCTACCAAAATTGTCTATTTGCTTTATCAGCTCCATGTTTATTTCTCTACTGCTTTTCTTAATTACTTTATAGTTTCTAACACTAAATGACTTTCCCATCAATACAGCAAATAACTGCTGGCCCATTTGTATATACAAAAGAGTATCTCAAGAAAGGATAGCTCTTTTTTATGCAACATAAAGCTAAGTCTAGAAATAAAAATGTAGCTTGCAAAGCAGCTAAAAACACCATGAACTGATGTTGCATATTTGATCAAAGTTAAATGTGGTGATTAACAAAATTTGAGCGGAACCTGGAAAGGAAAAAAATCTTTCCATAAAGGATGTTTGGACACTGAAACAGCAGTCTAAGCACTTTTATTTAAGTGCACAGGCATATCATTGTTATTTGGAAACATAAGGAGAATATAAAATTGCTCAGCATGTAATTAAAGAAGATAAAGAATAAAAGAAATCATAACATGACTTGTCTCTTCTAAAGGAAAAGTTTTCAATTAACACCACTTTAAGCCTCTTGAGCTTCTTTTTATCTTTCTAGAGCTTTGGCTCTGCTCATGAATGTCTTTCATCTCACTTGCTTCTCTTTGATTGGCACTAGAGAGCTTTCCTAACAGCACGTGGTGAGCTACTGCCACTTGCTTTGCTAATAGAGAACAAGTGTGCTTTCCTGATTGTTGGTCAACCGACCTAGAACGGCCCCAACAAATACAAATAAGCACAGGCTACTACCAATAGAAGGACACAGCCTGACCAGTCCTCCAAGTCTTTCAGAGCAGCCTGTTGTTAACAGCTCGTTGTACCAGATGTTCCGCAAACTCCAAATTCCTCTTTTGTCATGAAGTGAGCACATGGTGCCAGCTGTTAGGCCCTCTGCTTGGAGTCGCGTGCCTGTTGTCGCACCGCAGGGGAGCCAACTAAAGGTCACAGAGTGCCTGGGAGAACCAGAGCTTCCTTTTGAAGTCTAGAACATCTTCATCCTCCCAGGGTTTGGCACATTCTGTGGGCACTCCATGTCACCAACAGCCACTTGATGAGAGAGCACAAGCCCCTTTCATCATTTTTATTTGGCTAATGATCTCTGAATTATTTGTTAAGGCATGAGTGTTTGGGGCTATCCGTGTCTAAAATGGTAGCAGGATCAGTGGTTTGCTTTAGACTAAAAAGCCTGTTGCTTTCGAATCTTCAAGAACCATTGTAATCATACCTAAAGCTATGCAAAACACACCAACAATTTTTGAACAGCCCAAGATTGATGGCAAGGTTCACTGAAGAAAGGGATTTTAAGGAGAGCTGTAAAAGGCAAAAGGACAGTTCCTTTGTGAAGTGTAGGCTGTTATCAGAGAAGAGAAGACAGCTAGGAAATGTTAGAAGGCTTGAGAAAACACAGCAAGGAGAGTCCTAACATTTATTGAGCCCTGTTGTATTTGTCGCCATGCTTTCCACAAATTATTTCATTCAATTTTCATAACAGTCTTTTAAGGTGGTCTTGATAAAGATGCAATAAGGATGTTTAGAAAAACCAAAGAGCTTGTGCATGCCCCCAGCTAGGGAGAAAAACTCTTGGCTGAACAAAATGCTGCAAGATTTTGGTGTGACGTTTGAAGTGGCATCGCTAGGCCTCGGCCCCAGATTTGCCATGGTGTCGCCGTGGGCCAGACTCCCAGCAAGCACTGTAGAAGCAACACTATGAAAAGAGGATGGCCTCTAAGGACAGACAGCCCCACCTCCAGCGATGGCTACGGAAATCGCCTGCATTCACTGAAGACAGTGTATCTGCCTGTAGGCCCAGGACAGAGAGCAGGGAAAGAAGAGTGACAAGTGTCACACTGTTCCTTGGACACAGCTATCAAGGAGCACAACGACAAAGTGGTACACCTGAGAGCCACCTGAGCACCACTCGAGACCACTCACCACACACTTCCATCCTCAGCCCTTTCCTGTCGTCTAAGTTCAGGTTCTAGTTAATAGAAGTCACATTATTATTTGCATGCAAAAATACACCACTGAACCACTACCAGGCTTCCAAAGCATGGTTGGCACCCTTTCTTGGTAAAGCTATTTTCCCCAACCTCCCACTTTGTCACCTGTTTTCCCCAAACAATTATAGCAAGTAATTATTTTCAGTTTCCAAAGAGAAATGTTGATTCTAGTGCACTTGGATATAATTACACAAATTCATCAACTGACCTTGAATTTCACAGTCTGTACTCCTACCAAGAAGAAACAATGAGCTTTTCCCCATGCTGTGAAGTTAGATTTGTTCTACCACATGGACATGATGGGAAAAAGGAAACACTTAGAAACTGTACCATTTGCCCCTGGAATGACCCTTCTTCAAGACTAAATATCACAGGCATGTCATGGCCATGTCAGAGCATTCACCCTCTCCCATCCATATTTCAAAACGACTCACCAAAGATGCCAGCAAAAGATTAAAAAAATATTTATTGCTTTGTTGAATGTGGTTCAAGAACTCTCTTTGCTGGTAGAGGTACTGTGATTACATTTTACCTTATGACAGATTTTAGAAGCTAGGCAGAGAGGAGCTACTCACATTCTCCTTGTCAGGAATTCCTAGAGGAAAAAGACAGAGAGAAAGGTTGTGAATTGTAAGCTCAACCTGTAAAACGGAACAGAAGTCCTTTGCTGCCCCAACCCAAGTAACATTTTAGTGTTTTTAAGTTGTGTTTCCATAAGAACTTAAATAATGTTACTCAGAGAAATAATACAACAGATCAAAATCTGTAATGTAAATCAATCAATGGATGACGAGCAGGGCTATGTGCCCAGAAAAATAAAATTCATGTTTGTTTTGCTTCTTGGCCACTTGCTTTGCTTTCCCAGAGGTGAAACCCAGCACAGATTGATTTACTCAATGTGAGCAACTCATTCTAACGGTTTGGGCTCCAGAACACTCAGAATTTCAGACATATCAACTCTGAAGCACCTCCCACTCTCCAGCGACTTGAACCTAGAGACAAGGGACACATAAAAGCTATCACAACACATCTTCCATGTTGAGCAAAGCAACCTCCTGCCGATTCAAGGCAGGCCTGGGCCGGCCGGTGGCTCCTTCCAGGGCTATCTCACTTTTCTTAGTGAGAAAGTTCATTACTCATCATGTGATCATTTGCCGACAAGCATTTCCTGTGCATCTATCACAGGCAGCCCCCATTTCTTGTCGCTTCCTTTGGAGCTGCGACCCCAGATGACATGGGAGGGATGCACACCAAAAGGTTCACAGCTCCAACAGAGCTTAATGTCCCTAGTGCAGCAGGCACAAGTGACCTTCTACTGCAGACAGAACCATGGAGGTAAGGGTTTGGCTGTGGCTTGCATCTAGCTTCCAACCAGTGGGGCAGTGGGAAGTGGCTTGCAATGCAAAAATATAGTACTTCTACATTCTGGTAAACAGTCATTGTGTTTGTCTGGGTACATTCAGGATAGTAATATTAGCATTAAAAGAACTAAGTACCCAACCTAATAGGCAGTGGTAGGGTATGTAAGAAGGGTAAGAATGGAAGACTGCTTGGAAACATTCCTAATTAAACATCTGACCTCCAGAGCGGGTAGCACCAGGACAGAATCTCAGGCAGAAAGCAGGGAGATTGAAGGGGTTGTCGTTTGAAGCAGAAAGGATTAATGTGCATGTTTGTCATCCCTTCCTATATGTGTCAGAAGGAGTGAGGGTGACCAAACATCTGAAGCCATACATTTATCATCCACCCACCATCCATCAATCATCCTTCCATCTCTCCATCCAATCTCTACCTATCATCCATCCCTCCAACCCATCCATCCAACCAGCCGCAGCCATTTGCAAGGGTCAAAGTTCATCATCTGAGAAGTAGAGGAGTATAAATGAAGATTACTTCCTACAAGGTTCAATAAAATCAATACAGTGTTCCACAAATCAGCATATCTGAGTGGTTGGCAATTAGGGTATCTGTGGAGAAATATGACTGAAGAGGGATGAATTTGGCCAAGGAGGGACTTGAAAGTTGGGCTTTGCAATTTCACCTTCCAGGGCAGGCAATGGACAATCAGTAAATAATTTGAGGCAGTAGCACAGAAACAGGAATAGGAACAAGGAAGGAAGAAAATGTTCAAAAGTAAAAGATATTTACAACAAGGGGCAATGTAGGGTCATTGACTAAAGTCCAGTTACTGGAGTGATCAGTGAGAAACATTCAGATTGGGAAATCTGAGTATGGACTGGGTGGTGGGCATTATTAGGAAAAATCACTAATCAGTTAATAGGTGAGGAAGTAATATATATATATTTTTTTTCCAGATAAAGTGATTATATATGGAAAAGTCTTTACTTTAAAACAATTCCTCTTGAAGTATTTGAGGTAAAATGTGATGAAAGAGAGAAATATGGCAAAAATATTAATCTTAAAGTACATATACATTTATTAACAATAAACAATACCAAAGCACAAAAATATTTCTATTAAATAACAGTAATTAAAGTGAAGGTGCTCAGTGCACCATTCTTTCTGCTTTCTGTATGCTTGAAACTGTTCATAATAAAATATAAATAAAAAGTTATGTGGAAATCAGATGCTGGGTAGACCAAAGCTGTGACACCGAGGGTTTGGTCAGTTGCGCCTGCACCCGGTGGCTGCAGAGGGAATGGGCATGAAAGACCAGGGGCACTGCAAAGGGAGGTGAGGCGGTGGACAGCCGAGGGGTCTCTGCGGGAGGCGGGCAGAGGAGGAGGAACCCAGAGCTGGTTGAGGTTTTTGTGCCTAGTAGAGAAAGAGAACGGCAGAGGTGCTGGAAATGGGCCTCCCAGGAGGGTGGCCTGGACGTAGGGGGATCAGGATGTGTTCCCTTATTGAGCTCAGGAGGTTGGGGGGCAGCAGGGCACCCAGGAAGAAAGATGCTAGGTTGTCATTTGGAAAGTGAGGCTGCCCTGGAGGAACCCAACAAAGGTGCTCACGTGGGAGGCAGTTTATCAGTTGCTGAGAAGGACGGGAGGGTCAAGGGGAAAGTGCGAAGGAAAGAAAGAGTGTGCAAGGTTAGACCCCGGGGTAATATAATATGGGGACTCTGGGCGGATGGGCCACAGCACCATTAGACAGACAAAAATGCGCATGGCCGGTGACCAAGCAAGCCAGGACAACACAGTGGGTGCCTGGGACCCACAGAGACTTGAACATGGAAAGACTCAGTGAGACCCAGAGGGAAGGGGTAGCGGGAGTCGTGATTGGATGGTAGAGTGGTTTATTCAAGAAGTAGGGGCAGAGTCAAGACTTTGCGGGGTGCAAGAGTGACTGGGGTGAGGGCTTAATAGCTACCACCATTTGGGTGCCTATTACGTACCCAGCACTCTTGTGACTTGTTCAGATTCAGCTAAGCCTCACAACAGCCCTCTGAGGAAACAGAGGCACAGGGAGACTAGGTGCCCTGGCCCAGGCCACACAGCTGGGGGACACAGCACAGCTGGAATTTCAAGCCGGACCCTCCTAACCAGCCAGCCAGCCCCCGGCTCAGCCAGGGGAGGAGAAAAGCCAAGAATAAGGAGGATAGGACAGAAACACTCATCCCTCCCTCACACTCTCTGTAGGCAGAGGGGGAGAGAAGGCAGAGGAAGGCAGGAAAGGGAGACAGCGCCCTCAAGCTGCTGGCCAGGCAGGGCAGAGAGCCACCTGCAGAAAGGGACAGGGCTGGGAGGGAGGGGGGAGTTCCAGGAGCTAGGATGGGCATGAGAGGGTGACTCCATGGCTCTGAGGGTGCCTGGGGTGGGAGTACTGTCTGATACTCCCCGGCACTGGGCACCTTGGGCCCCGATGCACACACGAGCTTAAAAAGGGACTCGGACAATGGAGCAACTCCCAGCAGAAGAGGCCTCAGACACCACCCCACGCCGGAACGGACAGACAGACGACATGGGAGTGCTTTAAGTGCAGTGGGCGCCCACTAGAAAAGAGCAGCGACAGAACAAAGCTTCCTTGAGACTGATCGCGGATCAGGGCGTGGATGATTTATTTTATGTATCTACTACATAATATCACCATGTATCTCTAAGGTGTACAACATGTTGTTTTGATACACAAATCCGTGGTGCGATGATTACTGCAGATCCCTGAGCAAATTAGCTTTCCACCACCCTCCCGTGTCACCCTGCACCCTGATGTCTACAGGGGCACCCGCATTTGAAGAGGCCATGATTTAAGAATCTGCCTCCCACTGCTTCTATCCTTGACCAGCTGAGCCAAAACAAGTAAGAGATAGGGCTCTTGGGTATCTAGAAGTGACCGAGACCCAGATGGCTCACAAATCCCATTCCCCAAAGCGCACTGAGCAACACTGGATTTCACTATAGGATGAAGGCCTCGTGTTCTGAGGATGATCCAGCTCCAGCTCCAGCTGATAAACCTCCTTCTATTAGCTAAGACCACAGAGTAAACACCACCTCAGCTTTGCAAAAATACCCCAGGTATGAGTTTGCCCACAAAAGAGCCTGGACCTCCAGTGTGTCAGGCTGGTGCACGATGGATTTTTTTGCCACTTGAAAGCACACACCACCCCCACAAACCTCTGCATACAAGATGTACACGTTTGTCACTTACTGTCGTTGTTAGAGCCTGTTTCCATAACCCCATAAGGAGGAGCCAGAAGTCCTGCCATATACTGTCGGTATTTCTGAAAGACAAGAGGGTACACTCAGTGCAGAGGTATTTACCTGCATGGAGCATTGGTTTATTTACATGATGAAAAGCAGAAACGTTGGGCTTCAGGAAGCATCTAAGCCTTGCATTTATAGGAGCCAGTCTTAGAAAGACCCCGTGTTCTAAACCCCTGCCTGGGGGGCGGTTGCGTCTCAGCCGGTTCAGTCAAGCACTTCTGGCTGGTTGAACCTCCTGCATCCCCAACCCCCCTGCCCTCCACCCTCTACAAACACATGCTCAGATTTTGGTGGAGGGAAAAGGCCCTTGGATTTTGTAGCTGCAGAGAAAAATGCACTGCCTTTTTAATAGGTGAATGGCACTGAATCAGCTACTTTCAAAGCCAAAAGAAACGCACGTCTGAAAAAGTGTCTGTTTGAAAGGCGCTGATTCGCTTCCATTCAGCCACTTCCTTTTACGCGGTACACCTGCCTGATACGTGACCTCCAAAGAACTTCCGGTGTGTCATTAGATAAAAGAGGTGGGCTCAGTGCAGGTCTGTTTGGATTCTCCTGAAGTGTATTTCCCTGAGTTCTGGTCCTGGCGTGCTCTGAAATGTGGGGCCCAGCAAGGGAGATTAGCCCCAGTAGTCTGCAAGGTTTGGGAGGGGGACCAGGCATGGTGGCCATCAAGCAATCTGGATCATCCAACTAGAGGGGGTGGCATTGCCTACCCCTGGAGGGCCACTGGGCAGCCCCCTCTCTTCTCAGCAGGGAAGCCGGGCAACTGCGTTTAGTGCATGGTGCCACGTGTATTTGTGGTTTAAATCACAATGGCACATACATGTTAAATGCCACCCGGAAGGGTCAGCACTCCATCATGCTTCCACGGGCGTCAGCACAGACTTCGTCTGTGACAAAGGGCAACGCAAAGCATCCAGCAACCATCTGGCCCATGAGGAGGATGCGAATGGTGCTTGCAACCTAGCGTGGAGGCTTTCTCAAAAGAGCCTTCTTCCAGGCAAGATGTGACTCACTGGTTTTTTTTCTTTTAATCTTTCTTTCTTCTCATCCTGCGGCAACTACACGGACACCTGCATGCAAACATTAGAATCACGATTCTCCCTGCTTCTGAGCTGGCTAATTCTGAAACATACCCACGGGACCAACACGTCAGCCTGCCCTCCTGACCTTGCCCTTGATGACTGCCCAGCTCGGAGTCTCTCCTTGCTCACGACATCACCCCTTACTCATGAGAGGACATTATTAAGCACATTTCTGGGCACCCTACTGTTATGCACTTTAAGCGAAAGTGGCTCAGGGAGAGTAGGTGAGGGCTGGTTATGTTCTAAGAAGGTTTTGTGATGATCACATCTCCCCGTAGCCTTCTGTGTTATCCCTGTCACTCCCAGCAACTCCCTAAGAAGCTCCTAAGAGATAATTCATGTAACACGGGTCACTGTCCTTTGCTTAGAAATGCTGTCTTGGATTCCCTCATCTCAGGAAGCTCAATGCCAAGGCCCAGGAAATCCCTGGAACCAACCGTCTGGTTCTTGAATGCACCAGACTCCATCTTCCTTCAAACCCCATCACTCGGCCTGCTGCCTGTCACGGAGCGTATCATCACGGCCACCACTGGGGAGAGGGGAAAGCAGAGCAGCCCTTTGGGAACTGAACTGTGTGTGTTGAGTGCCTACTGTGTGCCAACAACGTCCAGCGCATTGGGCTCAGTGCAGAGAACATGTAGAGCAAGGTCTCTTAGGCTTGAGAGCTATTTCTGAAACACAAGTCACTATGTCTTGCACGTGATAGGAACCTCATGTTTTTTCAAGTTCTACATTTTCTAGAAAATGTCAAAGACTTAGAAAAACAGCACACCACTACTCCATATCCAGTTTCAATAATTATTAACTTACAGCCAATGTTACCCTTTCCAAAATTACTTTGAAGCAAATCCCAGATAACCATATCATTTAGTCCATAAATATTTCAGTAGGCATCTTTAAAAGATACATTCTTTTTTTCAAACAAAATCCCAATATCATTATCACAGCTAGAAAAGATAACAGCTCAAAAATATCCAGTTGATATTCAAATTTCTAATTGTTTCATAAATGCCAGTGCTGAATCTAATTTTAAAAAAGTCGTTCATTTAATAAGACAACATCGGTTTCAGTACAACAGCTTTTAATATTGTAGAGCTTACAAAAATAGGATTGAAATCTTTATACTTACAACACAAAGACAACCTTTTAATACTTATGGGACAGTTTTTAAAGTTTTATTTTTATTTCTTAGAGAGAGAGAGAAAGAGAGCATCTCAAATTCCTAATTCACTCCCTAAATGCCTGCAACAGCCAGGGCTGGGCCAAGCTGAAGCCAGAATCTCAGAACTCTAATTGGGTCTCCCATGCGAGTAGCAAGGACCTGAGTACTGAGTACCTGCGGCTTCCCAGGGTGCACATTAGCAGGAATCTGGATTGGATGCAGAGTGGTGACTCAAACGCAGGCACTCCAGTATGTGAAGGGGGCATCCCAAACAGTGTCTTAACTGCTGAACTAAATGCCTGTCCCACGATGGAGAACTTTTGAGCAAGCATCAGTAAACCTGAGAAACTGATTTCTTACATAGCATCTGGCAGAGAATCTACATTATGTTGAAAACAACTGATTGGAATAATATTGATATCAAAAATTCAGTATTCCTAAATCATTTGCGTACTGCTTGACCTTTGGACACCATTTCATTTCCCAAGAACAAGTTCAAAAGCAGTCTATGAAGCAAAATATCCCATGAAGGAAGCTGAACCTCACTCATAATAGAGAGGCATGTTAACAGTGCAGGATCATCTTTTACCTGTCAGAGTTGGCACAGTTTCAATAAGCTTGCTCACATACTGCTGATGAGAGTGGCAAAAACAGGGTCTCTCAAATATTGCTTATGGGAGTGTAAAATGAGACAACCTCAGGACAAAGCAATTTGGAAGCATTTATCGGATTTTAAAACACGCATCTCCTTGATTGAGTCAGGAACCTCCTGGAGGGAGCAGATGTGGAGCCTTCTTTTGAATACAAATGCATACACTGCTGCCTGCTTGCAATAGTAAACACAGCAACAATTACAAACACCAGATAACTCAAATGTCCACAGCAGAGGACACTGGGTTACTTCCCAATAAGTAGGTGATAATGGACCATTTCTTGATAAGATGGGAATAGTATGCAGGTATGAAAAAGAATAAAGCCGAGTCTGCATAAGAAGAGTCTACATAGGTGGGAAGCTGGAGTCAGGAGCCACAACCAGGAATTGAACTCAGGTATATAAATGTGGGATGCAGGCATCTTAACTGCTGGGTCGAGCACCTGCCCTCACAATATATTTTCAAATCTGAAAGAAATAACCTGAATCAGGTGTGTATACTATGTTATCATTTTGTAAGGATAAAAGAATAGATGTGCACCTGGGAGTGGTGGGGGCGGCGCTATGGCATAGCAGGTACAGTTGCTGCCTGCAACCCTGGTATCCCCTATGGGTGCTGGTTTGAGTCCCAGCGGCTCTGCTTCCAGTCCAGCTCCTTACTGACGTGCCTGGGAAGGCAGCAAGTCCTTGGGCTCCTTAGCCACGTGGGAGACCCAGATGGAGCTGCTGGCTCTTGGCTTCAGCCTGGTCAGGCCCTGGCCCTCATGGCCATTTTGAGAGTGAACCAACAGATAGTAGATCCCTCTCTTTAAAAAAAAAAAAAAGAAAGAAAGAAAGAAAAGATGTGTGTGTGAACATGCATAAGATTTGTAAATGCTAGACTATCTCTTGACAGACACACAAGAAAGTGGTAACAACCAATGCCTCCGGAAAGCACACCAGGGGAACTGAGGGTCAAGGCAGAGAGACTTGGTTCTCACTGTGCATCTTTTAGAACTCCTGATGTTTGTGCCATGTGTCACTGTTACTTGTAGGACATCAGAGCAGTTAATGCTCTTCCCTCTTATACATTTATTTTTGAACTTCTATACTAGACTTCATTGGAAGAAAAGGTTCCACTGCTAAAGCAATAAGCAAACAAAATGAAAAGCCACACAATCAAAACCATTAAAAAAAAAAAAGAATTAAGAAAAATAAAAGTGACGTGAGCACTCTGTTCAGCCATCTCAGTTGGTCTCAGCCTTGAAAACTCCCAGCCCAGCAGCCAATAAAGGACTGACGAAGTCTCCAAAGATTTCCGGCTCCCAGCCAGTCAAGCCCCCGCCAGCCATTCCAGTCACCTTGCTTGCTCAATGACCCCAACCTGCGGGCAGGGTAAAATGGTTGTCGGTGGATTCCATTAGGTTTGGCGTAGTTTGCTATGCAGAGACAACTAGAAGAGAATCTGGCATCTGAAAGCGGGGTGGTATGGCGGCAACACCTATACCATGGGTTGTTAACTGTGGGACTGGAAGGTAGGGGGAGCCCGATGGGGCCCAAGGAGACTATTAACGTGGGCTCAAAGGCAAGTGCAAGATGGAGCACGCGGACCCTTGTCGGGGAAGGGTGAAAAGTTTAGCAAAATCAATGCCCACAGTGATGTGGAAAATGGAAAATGTACCTAGCGAGCTGAGGCTTTCTTGGGCTAAGGAGATTTCCAGGCAGAATGCCAAGTGGCCTCTGCTTTCTTGTCTACGCTGGAAGGGTGCAGAGGCAGAAGAGCTGGCAAAGGAGTCATTTAGTTTGAAATCAGAACTTAGAGTAAATATAAATTAGGATCCAGGATGCATAAAGTCCAATACTACAGCTATTTGTTTTCTCCAGTCTCTTCCAGTGAAAGATTTTCAAAGAAAGACAGGGCCTCCTGTCAAAGAGCAAATATAGAGCACCAGCAGGCAAAGGCAGCCTCAGAGCGCAGAGGCCGGGTTGTGATGGCAAACTGCTTTCCCACAACTTCAGGAAGGCGTAAGGTGCAGGGCCATGAGTTATTATAGATAGGACTTTTAGAGAATCCAGAGGATATTATATCACAGCAACCTCAAAGAGGGTCCAAGGTAGAGAAAGGCCAAGATAGCTGTG